GCTAAAAAAAGTGTTGAATGTGAGTGAGACGTGGCAGTGTACTGCATACTGTCACGAATCCTGTCCGTGGTCTTCCATCTGCTCACCACCAGAGGTCGCCTTTGCATTATATTCACTCTCACACCACACAGACTGTTACACGTCAATGCCGCCATTCATATACTTTTAATGATAGCCAACATTACAGCCCTGCGTGCAATGAAGCTCGCAGTCACTGAACATCTATGGGTTGACGATGTAAAACTCCGGACAAGTTTTCTTGCACGCACCCGTTTTTTACACGTCTTGACTGTCGTACAGTCTGACATTAAAAACAACTGAGATCCCACAGTGTGACATGATCATCATGTTCGTACAGTCTGACAAGTACAATCCTAAAGGACTTTTAAAAAATCGCACAGTGTGAGCCCGGCTTAACACCCACTCAGACCCTTCTGAGATCGCCAAGTATTGTTTAGCGATTATCGCTCTCCTAGTGATAGCTACTTTACGGAGCCAATCTCGTTTCCCCAGTCTTAGTTCCCAGTCTCAGTTCCTAGTCTAATCTAGTCTTGTTCTTTGCATGACTTCCTGTGTTTAGACCCTAGCCTGTTTATCTCGTTTCTGTGTATTCTCTGCCTGCCCTGGATTTTGCTTGCTGTGGATTACCTCTATCATTACGTCCTGTTTGGATACTGTATGCTTCTCGCCTGGACTCTAGCCTGTTTTGGATTACCCCTTTGCTCTGCTATCTGGATAACGTTCGCCGATGTGTTGACCCACGCCTGTGTTAAGAATACTCTTTTGTCTAGCCCTGTTCAACCTTGTTTGCCAGTGTTGATCTTTGCCTGTTGTGACCACGCATCTGTTTAATAAAAGCTTTGCATATGGATCCGCACGCCTCTCTCAGTCGTCCCGTTACACATGCTTTTTGTGAGATATCATAGAACATAACACAAAGAGAGAATTGGGCAAGAACAATGAAGAAACCAGTATTACTGGAAACTTTAATAACAGGGACCATAACCCTAGCAGGTGTATGGATTTTAGCTGCAGGGGTTTTCTGTTTTATAAGGGTTTCATACACTGTACACATATTTTTTGTAAAGTAATTATGGCATTCTCCTTCGAACACTAACACAAGATTTTGAAGTTTAGTTATGGGTTTCTTTCTTCCTTATTTCAGTCTCTCTAGTAGTTACGGATGATTGCGTGGGGTCAGTTTGATACCATCTATTTCTGTATGTTCTTGATATGTTTGATATAGCGATGCAAAGTCCGATTCATTTCCACTAACCGGTTCTTTTCGGACAGATCGGCTCATTGAACCGGTTCAAAAAGCCTGACGTTATCAAGCAATAACGTCTCTACGCATTTCTTTTCTAACAACTCAATGCCACGTTGTATCAAAGAAAAATTCAGATAAGTAATTTGTGTCAACACATATTGAAACATTCAAAAAATAAAGTTATTTGTGTGAACGCATATTGCTGATTATTGCCACAGTGGTCACAGTTTCATTCGTGGATCCTTTATGTCAGATACGACTGACTGACCAATATTGACTAGCCTACAACTTGGATAAGATTCCTAAAAGTTTCACACCTACAGCACACATTACAGACATTGATGCACAAACGCGGATATGTTCTACATGTCTACAGTATAAAGAATGAATAAACCAGTCTTATAAACTCCTTGATTACTTAAGCAACTTTAAAGGGGTCATCGGATGCTAAATTCACTTTTACATGTTGTTTGAACATAAATGTGTGTTGGCAGTGTGTGTACACATCCACCCTATAATGATAAAAATCCACCCAGTGGTTTTTATTTAATCCCTAAAAATAATATCCCCTTTTTCAAATCAAGCCGTTCTCAGCTTCTTGTCTTTGTGACGTCACACAGACGAAGGCCGCTCCCACGACCTAAATGTGTTTATGTTCGCGCGAATCATTTGTGATCCAGCTTCACTTACAGCAGAAGTGAGTATAAGGTTTTTTTTTTATGAATCTTTGCAATCACTGTTCCTAACAACGTGCTAGTGAGCAAGTTTCACGGCAAAATGCAGCTAAAGTAAAGTCTCTCAGAGCACAGTTCCTCACCCCACAGAAGAGAGGGGTGGGGTCAGCAGAGCTCATTAGCATTTAAAGAAACATGCAAAAAACGGGTTGATTTCTGCAGAGCTGATTTTGACAAGGTAAAAAGGGTGTTTTTTACACTACCATTGAGAAATTTTAACCAAAGTATGTTATAGGCTTTTCATTAAGACCCTAAAGAATCATATCAACTTGTGGAAAATGGGCATCCGATGACCCCTTTAAATATAATATGCATGCACAATAAACTATTGTAAAATGTATTTACATCACTCGACAGAAAGGTTTTTGCAGGTTTTAATAAAATGTAAATTAATAACAGTCATAATAAGCATATTTCCAGTACAGCCTCAGGCTTGCACAGTATCGTCAACTCACTCATCAGAATATTCGGTAATCCTCGGCAAACGTCGCCACGGCTCATTCGGTTCTTGTTGAGTCATCGGTAATCCTCGGCAAACTTCGACAGTTTGTAGAACCGGCTCATTTGCTTCGTTTTGAGTTGGACGTGCTACTTCGGCTGTGCGTCCTGCGTCATTAACCCGGAAACTAAAGTTCTATTCAGTTCGATTTTTTTTTTTGTTGTTGTTGTTTTTTTTAACAGGATCTGCATATTCTATTCCGCTTTTACTATGCCAAATCCATATTTTTCTTCTTTGAATAACGTTGAATACTTCCCTTCTCAATCTACATTTTAACATTGTATCATTCCCTGTTGTACATTTATTATAACTAAAATCAATTGTATAGTAAAATCTTTGGATGCTAATAATGATTTAGCATTACAAAAGAAACAACAGGAATATTGTTGATTCACATGATAAAAACCATATACAACAAAATACTTATGTTAGGTGTGAATGGAATGGCTGGAACTAAGAGTATTATACCTTTAGCTATAACATACTGTATGTGAGGTTTTAGGAGCTCCAAAGAACCTTGGAAACAGGTTCTGGTACAACGTAATAACTGTTGGATAGGAATAAGAATGGGATGTTTTATCTCAGAGACGGAGACATTGCTGGAGTCAGAGCCCCAAGAACCCAGCAGGAAAGTGGTGGTAGACCCAAATCCAGAGTATTGGACACTGTAAAAATTGTGAGAGTGATGGGCGAGGCCCTTTATATGCGAGGATCCAAACGAGATTAGGAGCATGCCAACGTGAGATAATATACTACGATTGAAGCATGAAAAAAATTTGAGTACAAAACAATTGGCCACAAAATAAAATTTTAATAAGAGAAGACACGTTGAAACCAAAAAAGGGAAACTTTTGGATCAAAGAAAAAAAAACTATAAACTACAAAACTGTAAAGAGAAAACTATACAATGTGATGTGTAGATTGCTGAAGTTTAAGACCTATGCACCTGAAGTGCACATGCAAATGAAAATGAAAGATTGATAAGTGTGATACATTGAACTACAGTAAAGAAGGAGACGAGTGTAAGAAGTGAGTCCCAGAGCTTGATATTGAATTGGAATTCAATATAAAAAAAAAAGACTGAGGAATAAATCACTCTTCAAGTGCTGCCTGCAATAAGCATGAAGGATGTGTAGTAGTTTATACATTATGATTTGATATTTCATCAAATGTTATGAATGATCAGACTTCAAAAATCTTTAGAATTAACAAAGGAGAACCACATCGATTTGTTTCCTGTTGAGGGGGGAAAAAGTAGCCTACATTTAAGCTGCCACACGCATCCTCTGACATGCCCAAGCTAGAAGCCTCGACAGTGCTCGCTAAATCAGAAGAGGGACGACAAAACGCACGACAAAAACGTAAGCATTTTTTAACCATACAATGAAATAAAGAAAAGAAAGAGAGTAAACGAAGTAGATGTTACCTTTGTATTTAATCTACTTTTTTTACGAAAGAAACTTAAAAGTGAAAGCAGAGCTACCAGCTGCGCGTTGCGTTCACGGGCAGAATGACCGCAGCATGAAAATACTAACCTGTGCACTAACCAACAGTCGCCATTGTTCACAAACAAGATCGTAAAAATACTTGGCCTTGTTGTCAATATAACAGTGCAGTGTTATTATTTCCTGATGTAAGCTATATCAATGATTAAAAATGCACAAGATTGCACGTTCTGTAGCCTATGGCATAAATCAATTTCTAGACTAGAGTAAAGCAGCCTAGGCGAATGTCTGGCGAATATCGAACCTAAAACTAACTTTACCCCGCTAGTATAAACTTCCACATTGCTGTATGTTGGATATTGATTGCAAGAGATTGGACAGGATTCACGCTCTTTTACTGTTTGTCGATACAGAAAGAAAAAGACAAGACTGTTTTATTAGAAAGGTAAACAGGAAACGCCCCTTAAACAAAACGGTACATGCAGAATTACAGTGCATTCTCTGCACACTTTCTGGCGTTCCTGGACTTCCTGGTTTGTCGGGCCACAGATTCTCATCTACATCACAGCGATATCTTCCCTTACCATGCAGCGCGGAAAGAATCTAACGCTTCACACCTTTCCCTTCAGTAGTGAAAGTCAAGATTCACTTGAGAGCAATTCATCAGTATGAATCAACTTGTTATGCTTGACAAATTACAGCATGACTGAGAAAAACTATGCAGAGAACAGCGATGAGGCAGGCTGCTGTAACACAAACTGATTACAGAAAAACGTGCTTAATGTGTTATTGTGAATAACTTTTCTCCTTTTGTTTGCAAAGTACAAAAATGTTTAGAGGGATCCTTCTCAGCCTCTCACTCTCGCTGAATTTATGGTTCTGTGAGGTAGCATTAAGTGAGTGTATTTTTTTTCTTAATTTAAATTAATTGATCTAATTTCGTATCACAATATATTTCACTGTCTTTATGTTTCATATTTTAGCAACTCAGCAAGAAGCACCATATATTATTATGGATGAAACCAACATCAACCCTGAGGTTGCAAAACTTCTAGGCAGAATTAAATATGTTGCTCGAAGCTGCAAAGAAATTCGTGAGAAGTATCATGTTCATGATGGTATGATCGTTTCTATTTATTTTTGCTATCTTAAGCACCAAACTGCATTTACAGGTGCATCTCAATAAATTAGAATGTCGATTATAAGGTATTTTTATTATAGTAATGGTTTTACAGCCATGACTTAACATAAAAGATATTAAGACACTGGATTGACAATCAAATGATGTTAATCTAGAATCTCAAACAGAACAAAACTGTATTATATAAAGCACTATATAAATAAATGTGACTTGACAGAATCCTGGATATTTTGACATCGGGGCACAGGATGTGTCTGTGTGGCATGTTCCTAATAATAGTGAGTTGGAGCACTGGACCACTGCCGCCATCCTGAGATACCACACTGAAAATCAGTTCTTAACCCTACATGGAGGAAACCTTTTCAAATTATTCAAGGTCAAACAAACTTTGACACCATTTTTAAGTTTGAAACATTGACAGACATATAGGCAAAGCTAAAGCGGATATTTATCTTCATTTTCCCAGAAATTCCCTGTGAGGTTTGGAATCGGGACATGCAACGTTGATAATGGACCTGCTATTCCAATAGTGTATGATACTGGAAATGCGATATCAACCAAATATCTGTATGGTCCCAATCCAAGAGGTACGGCAATACATCTTGAACCAGTATTTTTCAAATATCTTTAAAGAAAATAGCTAAATCGATTGACTCATAAAATCTTTGTATTATTCAGTGATGCTATTATTTAAGCCATCACCACTTTTGTAATCTGATTACTTTACTGTTGTATGTGGATCTAAAATGACAGATCATCATCAATGATATATTTTGATTTTTTTTTAGGAATATTTGAGCCTGGATTCATCACATTCAGAGTCTTCAATACCGAAAAGGCAGCTATGGCTATTTGTTCAGGCGTTAAACCAACCGGTTGTCACACCGAACATGTGAGTTAAAAATAATATGGATTATTTTTAACAACATTAATGAAAAGAATTTGTGACAATCATTTAGACACAATATTTCATGGATCAGTGTAAAAATGAAAAGTGCATTTACAGTAATACACTTACACCTGAAATAAATCTACAGCACTAATGCTATTTGAAGAAATGCACGTTGTGTTGCTAGTAATGTACTCATGTTCTTGCAGTTCTGTATTGGTGGAGGTGGACACTTTCCTGAATCAGCTAGACAGTGTGGGGACTTTACAAGTTTCGACTGGAATGGATATGGTACTAATACAGAATGGAGTGCTTCCAAAGAGATAACTGAGGCAGCTGTACTTCTCTTTTATCGCTGACACTCTGACGAGTCTAAAATCTTCTCATTGAGATATATTACACTGAATAACACCTGAATGTTATATGCACAATTACTTTCACAAATGTATTTCATTACAATATATATCCTTTATCAGTCTGTACTCTAAGAATGCATTTGCGTTCTTTGTGTTTGGTGTTTGTCACTAAGGAAAAAAATAACCTGTCAGATTAGCCATTTATTGAGCCATTTATATCTAACATACTTTAAACATACTTTCAATGTTCATGCATTTCTTTTTACAATTGTTCAAAAGTGGAGCAAATGTATAATGTTTCAATAAAACAGTGGACTGCCAATACTTATCAACAAGTTGTAGTCTACAAGTTACTTTGACAATATTTTATGAATACATTTGTGAAGATTTGCTCATATAATTTAAGCATTTAAGAGCTAGCATTCCTTGTCATTTCTAAACACTCATTCTTTTTCCAAATTCTTTATTTAGATATTTATTTTATATTCTTGGACAGGTATATTTACACATATGATAAAGCATTGGAAAATAGGGCTCCCTGACTACAATACATCTGCAAATGATAAGGATGTTTCATAGCATTGTAAAGACTCAACATCATTTGATGTTAGGGAACATTTGAACAATATTCTAAATAATTGAAAAGAATTAACCATCATCAGTCTGGATGACATACTGTACAGTAAGCATACCCTTTCTCAAAGGCTACTTGTTGAGGTGCGAAGCATATTTGAGGATGTGCTGCTCAATCATGGAAGTTTAACTGGGGCTGATGTCTCACTAGAGATGCATTACAATGCCACAATCCTCATGAAAGCAAACAATTTAAATCCGTGTAACAAAGATAACCTGTATATTTACAAAATTCAAGTTTGTATCACTACAATATAAAAAGTGCATCAATATAAAAAAAAAAGTCAAATAGTAAATGTCCACCTCTATTGTTATTTGAGACTGAAGAATGAGCATATAGAAAAACATAAAATGTTGATGTATAATTATTTAGAGTATTAGAGGAGAATAACTCTTTACTAAATTGTAGTAAAGTCCACAACAGTTCATTTTCTATTCAATAAATTATGGCCACTGCAAAAAACAGAGCTACATACTCCAGTGCCTAATATTACATTACATATAATAATGACAGGCATTACAATAAAATGAGCTAACTTTTGCACTTTTTTCCCTCCAAAATAACCCTTTTTTCCAGATGTCCAAAAAGAAGCACCAGAAAACATGGCTGTTTTATAGAGTTTCAGCCCTTTGAGGTTTCTCTTGTATATTTGCAGAGTCAGACATTGGAATTGACCACGGATCAAATGCAAATGACTGCATTTCCAAAGACCCTGGGAAAAAAGCTTTCTTTTTGAATGCATCTTCTTAGTGTCTTGTCAGAAGACTGTCCTCAGCATGCCGATCTGAGGGTTTTGATCTGGAGTGAGAAGTGAGATGGAGACCCATCTGCAGGGTCGGCTCAGTAAGCAGTGCAGGCATGGTGAGCGTCATTGCAGTGTTTTTCATGGTTGAACAACAGGTCGTCCAGTGCACAGAGCAAATCCCTCTCCTTTCTTCATTGCCTCATGTCCTGTTTTTCTCCCTTTCTCTCTGTTTCAGAGACGTCTAATGTTGCTGTTGGTTGGTCCCTGAGATGTAGGCCTGTCTGAACCCTCATGAGCAGCCTGCGTTATCGCTCTTCCATCATCTTGCCATTAGCCTCATTCTCAGTCTCCTCACGCCTTTTCTGCCTTTGGAAAAACCCCAACTATTGGAGTGAAAAAAAAAACGAAAAAAAACTAATAATCAAGATTTACTATGTCCATCCTTAAATCCATCCATGCATGCATCTGTGCATGCTTAAAAAAATAAGGACACATTACCTTCCAAAGTGCCAAAATGAGAAGTGAGAGGAGTAACAGGCCTCCAAGTGTGCTGCCTATGACAATCCAGATGGGAACACGGTAATCCTCCTCTTTCCTGATCTCTAGGATTATCTGAAAAAACACACATACAAAAGAAAAATATAACAAGCTATACTGCTTTATCAGAGATCTTCTTATAGCTGCTTGTGGTATTAATGTTGGGTTCCTCAGAGCTCTTTTCTCTGCTCTTGGTACTGGTTTTCTGTTCTAAACAAGTTGTCACATTTCATGTTTCATCTGCTGCAGCTGAGTTCAGATTTCCTCATGTTAGTATTTATGCTTATTTTCTGTCCTGCCTACAGATGGCAGCACCACACAGCAATACGGAAGAGAACAGAACTGAACTGTGCTGCGGGTCCTTTCGGTCCCCTTGGCTCCAGGTTCTTTTACTGTGGTGAAACAGCACACACAGTAGCTCACCAGAAGACACACTGATATGTAAAGGGAAGGTTCTGGCATGAGAAATCAGTGCACCTGATTGTATGAAGTCATATTGTTCTTAACTCTTTCTGACAGATGAATGAAAACACATAAATTCTCAATGTTTTAGTCTCTCAAAATTGCCAAGGATGGAAAAGACAACAGCAACTTCTCATACTAACCACATCTTCACAAATTCAGTCATGGATTTATTTTTACCTAGTCTAAACATGTTGTCCAGCAATGTTTCTGTAACGTGGCTTTCTGTAAATGCTGATGTGTAGAGGGTGACTCACATGTCTGACCGGCCTCTCTTCAGGCAGAAACATGGGGCTGGATGGGTTCAGTTCCACTGAGGCTGTCGTCACCAGCTCGAGGGTTTTGAACTTCAGCTGCCCGTGACAAGAAAAACAGTTTTCAGTTTCTCTGACAGATGCTTACTTCAGTGGATGTGAGAAAGTTGGAGAGAGCAAGCACTAAAAGTGAGAAGCTAGAGAAGTGGTAGAAAAAGCCACACTTGTAGCAAAATGTCTGACCTTAGATACAAAATATCAAACCAAGTGGACACTGCAAACAACTGATGCTTCACTCAAATTAAAATGTAAATTCACTTGGTAACATTTTAATTTGACAGTCCACTTCAGACATTTTACTAACTATAAGTGGCTTTGCAACTACATACTAACTACCAGTCATAGACTGTTGGATGTAGAATATTAATAGACTGACTTTTTGATGGTTACTTGCACCATCAATCTGTAAGCAACTATATATGTGATTGTAAGTAACTTTTTAAATACGTCAACTGATTCTACTAACCCTAACCTAACAGTCTACTAATACTCTAATGAGTTAGTTGACACACTGCAAAAAATGCTTTTCTTACTTAGTTTTTTGTCTTGTTTTCAGCCAAAATATTCTTAAATCAAGAAGGATTTTCTAGACAATGGGTAAAAAGTCAAAGCAGATGGCATTTATTTTTAAAGGTTTTACTTGTCTAGAAAATCCTTCTTGATTTAAGAATTTTTAGATATTTTGGCTGAAAACAAGACAAAAAAACTAAGTAAGAAAAGCATTTTTTGCAGTGCATGTACAGTAGTTGCAAAGTTACTTATAGTTATAGATGTCTAAAGTGGACTATCAAAATAATGTGTAACCCCCTTCTCATTTTGAGCCATATTAACTATGGACATGTTTCATTAACATTTGACAACCACAAATTATACAAATACTATTTCTTACTTTCAAACAATATATCTATTGTCTAAGCAAAACTTATTCTTGTGAAATGTTTTAATGTGTTTTTTTTCCCCTTTAAAAATAAATGCCACCTGCTTTGACTTTTTACTGCAGACATTTAACATTTTGGGTGTGGATTAAGTGTCGAAATTACTTCTGGTGTCACTGTAAATTCAAAGCATGTGCTTTTTTTTTTTTGTTTTTTAGCAAGAGAAAAAGGAATGAAAAAAAGTACAGAATGTAAACAAAACCGGATTATAGTATGTCCACATGTACTGCATGACTTTGCATTGGTTTTGGGAGATCCTCCTCACGACCAAAGCCTTCATGTTGTGTGTGAACACTGTGCCCTGATTACAAGTTCTTTCCACATTATACTTCATCTTCATCATCAGATTGTTATTGCGAAGTCACAGCTGCTCACCGCATGCAGTGCATCAGTATGGAGGGATCCACCAATTTTCACGCTGACGTCTCTGTAGGAAGGCAGGTTGATGGTACACTGCACTGGCACCGTGAGGGTATTGGAGTAGTTCTGTGCAAAGGAGCAAGGAACAGTTCTCTCACAAACAGACAATCTTACTGATGAAACCCAGCTGCTTGTGGTGGGAATCTGATGTGTGCATTAGAGTTGCATTACAAAACTTCCTACCTCAGACATACAAGAATCTTCAAAAACACAATAACATTTCTAGAACTGGTTGAAGATGAACTAGATTTACCAATAATTTATGACACAATTTATTAAACTCAAGTGGCTTTATTCAGAGAGTACAAAACCAGCTATTTTGCAGAGAAGTGCTTTGCTGTTGCACATTAAATCAACATCTCATATCTGAAAGCCCCTAAATCAGGCAAACTATAAAGCACCATAACAACACAAGCCAGACTTTTATGAAGTGCTAAAGTGCAAGTCTGAAATGTGGCACACATTTTGTCTGAGATAACAGGCAGACGCTTTAAGCCCGTACAGAGAGGGTCTTACCAGTCGTGATGTTTGTGAGAGGTCCTCCGGAGACGCCCGACTGTGTGCCACATGCTGAGGGGGGATACAATGACTTCCACCTACCTGATGGAAAAAAGGCACAAAGCATTATTAATACAAAAAAGACACAAATCACTATTAATATCATTCCTGTAGCTCAAACAGTAGAGCTTGATGCTAGCAATGCCAAGGTAATGGGTTCTACTCCCAGAGAATGCATGAACAGATGAATTGTATATCTTGAATGATATGTGCAGTAAGTCACTTTAAAAGCTTCTGCCAAATGCATAAATTTAGCTGTAAATATCAGTTTAAAACTATTTGAATAATTAGAATATTTAGACTTATGCAATCAACACATGACAAATGAAAGCAAAATGTGTTTTAAAATCGGCTTGAAATATAAAACACAGGGCCGGAGTGGGACTCATTTTCAGCCCTGGAGTTTCATGCCTTAGACCGGCCCACTTTAATTCATGACTGACTATAGGCCTATTTAAATAATGTAATTAAAACCTCAGTATATAGGCCTACGTCTGCAATAGTGAACTGTTCCCTACAGCCTTGTAATTCATTGTATTTTTGCTCGCATATCTTCAACAACTGACGTTTTTTTAGCAAGGTGCCTCTGTCGTGGGAGTCAAAACATCATTACGTCATCATTAGGGTTGCCAGTTAACTGAATAAAATGGACAATTGTGATTCTTTACAAGAAAATAAGGGACAGAATAAGGGAAGCTCAAAATATTTGTACT